TAATGTAGGATGATAACATATGTATTAAAACATAATTTATTATCATTGCCAATGTTATATGGTGGATTTTTTAAACCTTATAGATGGTATGGTTTATTGTGTAATTTTAGGTTTCTATATCATTTGCATATGTGTAAATGAATTATTGCCTGCATAACCGAGAGTGAACTTGCACTTGTATAATTTTACTCATATGCAGTTAGGAAGTGTTCCATTTCTCATGATCTAAGTTGTTGTGGTTCAGTGTTGCCATATTTCAGGCTAGGTTCACACTTAAATTTCTTCAAGCTTTTTTTGGATTGTTTTATTATGCACTTTTGTACAAGTGTTTTTTTTAGGCATTTTCAGGCTTCAATATTTTTGTTTTAGCCAATGGAAAAATAGTTACTAGAAGGAGAGGCAAGAAATCAAGGGATTTTCAGGCACTCCTATTAAATTCTATAAGGACGCAAAATAGACAACCCTGCCCCAATGAAGCTGTACGTTTACAAGCTTCAAATGACAAGTATCAAGAGTCCTGATGCTTAAGTGTGAACCATTGAATGTAATAGGAATCTGTATGTTGACCATTGAAGCTCTTTGGAAAACACACTGCAAAACATTTGGAGAGAGCTCACTGCCTGTGTGGCATGGAGGGGGACCTAACTGGCTGCCGAAATACACTGACCTAGGTGGTGTACAGCCCTAATGTAATGTGCATGAGCCCTTAGTAACATTGGCACACTCACTCATTGAAGAACAGAGCAATTTCTGGCATTACACACTTTGGTCAAGTTGACAATCCCCAGTAAGCTAGCATGATTTTGATAATGATTATTTTTCAGGAGGCTCCACTGATGCGTTTTGTCATCATAAGAAGGCACTGCCCTGGGAGTCTTTTTAATGATGAAACGCGCCAGTCGACGCCTCCTACTGATGTCACCGGAAGTTGACGCTGGAAGCCAGCTCCCATTTATTTTTAATGCACGTTTTAATATATATGTGAGTGCAATTTTATGATTAACCCCTTTAAGCTGGTGCCTCCCAGCCCTTTAAGAGTTTCAGAAACCGTGGGGTGGGGTTTTAGGGTCATGTGACCGCCGTGATTCGCTGTCACGGCGGTCACATGATCGGAAAAGGTCTCGATCGCAAGGGGAGATCGGGACCTTTCTGTGAGTCACGGACATATGTGCTGGGAGTGCGCTCTCAGCACATTATGTATTTTCAAATGGTACACAAATATGCAGCCGCTCGGCGTCAAGGCCCAGACTCCGAGAGGCCGCATATTTGCGTGCACTCGGCGTCTAGGGGTTAATAAATGGCGTGGAAAGCTTTTCACTATGAAAGGCGTATGTCTGTTTGTTTGCCTTTTCCTGCTGCAAATCCTGATATGGTTATTTAATGAAGGGGTTTCTCTGAATGATTCAAGCAGACCTGCTGGAGATGCCTTTGATGTTCATGTGAACCTCTTGAGCACTTTTTGATCACTCCTAACTAGAGGGTCTTGGAAATTTGGTAAGCCTTCATCCTAACAGCACTTTTGGTGAAGGTGGAAGTCAATATTACAGTCATATTGTTTGATGAGGAAATAACTCATTTGGTGTACACTTATTTTCTTTGGTCACTTTTTTGGATATTCTTTTTGATTCACAGTGCTATTTTATTTTCGTTTTATTATTGCTTGTGTGATTTTACCTTTTTGTATAGCATTTTTAGTGTGTTGCACATTCACTTTGCATAGATATAATTTTTGGTTTAGAAGCGCAACACATTATTATTTTATTTGAGATTATTAGAAGGGATATCTTTTTTGTCTGTTTGTGTGGTTTTCACATTGTTTTATTGGACATTTACCAGCCCAGGAGTCTAGCTCTGTCTTCACCTGGCCTGATTCTTCGCTGGTCTTTGGACTCTTGGCTGTGGGAAGCTAGCTGGCTGTGACTCCAGCTGTCTTACAGGTGGCTTCCCAGTGCGCTGGCACAAAACTTGCTGCACTTTGAGACTGTTCCGGCATCCTCTTGTGACATATGATGTGTCCCAGGATGTTGCTGGAGGGTAGGGGGTGGGCTGAACTTGGAATTTCTCGCCTAGGTGGAATGGGAGCTGGTACAGGTGGCTTCACACTGCCCCACTGCACTTTTGCTAAAGTTCAGCCAACCCTCATTTTGTATGTGGGATAGCTGCTCTTTCCCAATTACTTCTATGAGGACCTGCAGTTTTGGTGCAGTTTCAGAAAGTGCACCAAAAATCCTGCATGTTGCATCTTTGGCTCAGTTTTGGCTGCACTAAAATTGCGGCACATCATAGGAGTATGGGGAAAGCGCAGCTAACCTGCATGACAATTGCGAGTTAGCTGTGCTTTGCCCAAAGCACAACGGGATCGAACTGGGGCAGTGTGAAGCCACCCTACCTGTCAGAGAAAGGTACCCGATCCCAGAAAAATTACATAATGGAGGATGAGCTAAACCTTCGCTTATAAGTGACAGTACGATTTAATTTTTAGCAACAGTGTTAGACTAGGCAGAGCACATAAAACTCTTTATGTGGAAAAATGGTATAGCATTTATACTGATAATCAATACTGATTACAGTATTGAATTTTTAAAACAAGGGTGCAGTTGTCTTTCCATGAGCTCCTTGCTGCAAAGGCCAGTTATGGATTGGGGCAGTTGCCGTTTGTTTGTACTGTTGGTATATTGGTGAGGCATGCACTGGACACCTTGGCTGCCATTGTGCTATGTGCTGGGTGTCCAGTGTACCCCTGTGCCTTTAAGGAAGGGTGGGCTCCCTCCAGGCTTACCTGCCCTCAGTCTATACATTATTATGCATACGCTTCCACTATGGAGGCTCTCAAAATTTTTAGTGTTAGGACTGCAGATAATACTTGGGTGCCGTGAAGAGACTCTGCAGCTTACGCATCTATTTGCAAATGTGTGCAAACAAAACCCCTTTTTAACGTGAACTGTTAAACAGGACAATTTGGTTGGCTGCAGGTTGGCTGGTAAGTTGAGCTGGGAATTTTCTTTATTGCTATTTGGCATGCGTCGCCCTTCCATGTGTTCCTTACTGCGAAGGCCAGTTATAGATTGGGGCAGTTGCCGTTTGTTTGTACTGTATGTAGGTCCTTGCCTGTGTAGGGAAATCTTGGCTTACTTCATGTAGATGTAATGAAAGCTCTTTGCCTTGGCATGTTATGGGAGATGTGAGGCCAATAACTAGATGGGCAACAGCGGTTATTTGCGTACTAGTGGAGGAACTCTTGATTTGCACTGTGCCCATCTGCTCCTACAGCATTATTTTCTTGTAGGGCTACACTGCATCCTCGCTCTGGCAGAATTTAGAGTAGAAAAGAAGCAGAAGCAAGAACAGGTGTTGCCAGTAATGGGATGGCTGTTGCAGATGACATGACATCTGTAAGGATACTCCATCAGATACATTGGAATTGTTCCAGGTGACATAAGGTCATTGGTTGACACAGGAAAAATATTTGGAGAAGTTAAAACTTTCAGATATGTGTGGACGACTTTGGAATCTCATTGTAATGAAGGAAGTGTCACACAGCAGGAGACACAGCCTGGTGGTTGAGCACCACTGCTATAGAATATTTGAAGGTTGAAGAAATAAAATTATGTTTTTTTTAGGCTAAATTGGTTACATAGGGGGCACTAGCAAACCAAAACAGGGCTTCAAAGAGAAATGGAAATTTTAAATTACACAAATTATTATTATTATTATTATTATACAGTGCTTATATAGCGCCACAAAGTTTGTTCAGCGCTTTACAATATAGTGGGGGACAGTACATGAAACAATACAGTAACAAAACAATATACGAGAGGTTCAAGAGCCCTGCTCTTTCGAGCTTATAATCTAGGAGGGAGGGGATAGTGGTACAGGAGGAAGTGGCTGTGGGGGATGGAGTGGTAGGAGGAGTGGAGGATATCGGCTGTTAGGTGAGGGTGGGGTAGGCTTCCCTGAAGAGATGGGTTTTCAGGGTGCGCCTAAAGGTGAGGAGGGTAGGTGACAGTCTGATGAATTGGGGTAGTGAGTTCCAGAGGATGGGGGAAGTCCTGGAGAAGTCCTGCAGTCGGGGCGTGGGAGGAGGAGACCAGGGAGCTAGAAAGTAGGAGGTCTTGTGAGGAGCGAAGAGTACAGGTTGGGTGGTATTTGGGTATCAGGTCGGTGAGGTAGTTTGTGGCAGTGTTATGAATGGCTTTGTATGTCAGTGTTAGTAGTTTGAATTTAATGCGTTGGGCAATCGGAAAGCCAATGGAGGGAATGACAGAGGGGGGTGGCAGAAGTGGAGCGGTTGGTAAGGTGGATGAGTCTGGCCGCTGAGTTTAGGATAGACTGAAGCGGGGATAGCCTGTGATGAGGTAGGTCGGTGAGGAGGGAGTTGCAGTAGTCGAGTTGTGAGATAATAAGGGAGTGAATGAGTTGTTTAGTAGTGTATAGTAGAATGACTATTCTCTATAATCTACAGTACAGATACAGCTTTTACAAATAATATTTTCCATTTTTGTAAATGAGTTGAAATGTCTATACATATTAATGAGCGGTTACAGTTATTAGCTCTTCCACGGTAACTGGAATCTATGGAGTAAACATGTTTTCCTTTTCCAGTATCTCATTGTCTCTTGGGGAAAAATCTCTTTAAATGTCTCATTATGTTGTTTATTTTCCATTGCTCCGTGTGCCTGGAATCCTTTTAAGAATTTCAAACAATGCATACACTTATGGAGGCTATTAAATATTTTTTTTTCCAATTGTCATGTCATTGCATTGTATACAGATGAGCCCTCATTATATTCATCCACATCTCAGACGATGTCACGCATCAAGTTTACTATATGAATTATAAACTTTAAAGTGGTAGTAAAAGTCTTGTAAATAAATAATGAAAATTTGCCCCCTGGAGGTTTAAGTCATAATATACACTATATTGCCAGACATATTGGGACACCCCTCCAAATAATTGAATTCAGGTGTTCCAATCACCTCCATTGCCACAGCTGTATAAAATCAAGCACCTAGGCATGCAGACTCATTCTATAAACATTTGTAAAAGAATGGGTCACTCTCAGGAGCTCAGTGACTCCAAGCGTGCACCGTGATAGTTTGCCACCTGTGCAATATGTCCATCCGTGAAATTTCCTTCCCTCTAAATATTACACGGTCAACTGTCAGTGGTATTGTATCGAAGTGGAAGCAACTGGGAACAACAGCAACTCTGCTACGAAGTGGTAGGTCATGTAAAATTACAGAGCGGGGTCAGTGCATGCTGAAGCGGACATTGCGTTGCCAACTGCCCGAAAAGCCAATAGCTAAAGACCTGCAAACGTCATGTGGCTTTCAAATTAGCACAACAACTGCACGCAGAGAACTTCATGGAATGGGTTTCCATGGCCGAGCAGCTGCATCCAAGCCTTACATCACTATGTGCAATGCAAAGCGTTGGATGCAGTGGTGTAAAGCACGCCACCACTGGAATCTAGAGCGGTGGAGATGTGTTCTTTGGATTGACGAATTATGCTTCTCTGTCTGGCAATCTGATGGACATATCTGGGTTTGGCGGTTGCCAGGAAATTGGTACTTGCCTGTGCAAAGTGTAAAGTTTTTGGTGGAGGGAGGATTATGGTGTGAGGTTGTTTTTCAGGGGTTGGGCTTGGCCCCTTAGTTCCAGTAAAGGTAACTATTAATTTGTCAGCATACCACGACATTTTGGACAAATTCATGTTCCCAACTTTGTGGGAACAGTTTGGGGATGGCTCCTTCCTGTTTGAACATGACTGGGCACCAGTGCATAAAGCAAGGTCCATAAAGACATGGATGAGCGAGATTGGGGTGGAGGCCTTGTACAGAGTCCTGACCTTAACCCAATAGAACACCTTTGGGATGAATTAGAGGAGACTGTGAGCCAGGCTTTCTCATCCAACATTAATGCCTGACCTCACAAATGCGCTTCTGGAAGAATGGTCAAACATTCCCATAGACACACTCCTAAACCTTGTGGACAGCCTTTTCAGAAGAGTTGAAGCTGTTATAGCTGCAAAGGGTGGGCCAACTCAATATTGAACCCTACAGACTAAGACTGGGATGCCATTAAAGTTCATGTGCGTGTAAAGGCAGGCCGACCAATACTTTTGGCAATATAGTGTACTAGCATGGCTAAATGGTTAGCACTTCTGCCTGGCATTACTAGGGTCGTTGGTTCGAATCCCAACCATGGCATCACCTGCCTGGAGTTTCCATGTGCCTGCGTTTGTTTCCTCTGGGTACTCTGGTCTCCCCATACTCCAAAGACATGCTGGTAGGTTAATTGGATCCTGCAGACACATGCTGTATTAAAACATTTTGTTTAAAGTAGGGTGGGGCAGCACAGTGGCTAAATGGTTAGCACTTCCACCTGGTAGTACTCGGGTAATTGGTTTGAATCCCAAACACGGCACCACCTGCCTGGAGTTTGCATGTTCTCCCTGTTCCTGCGTGGGTTTCCTTCAGGTACTCCGGTTTCCCCCACACTCCAAAGACATGCTGGTAAGGTAATTGGATCCTGTCTAAATTGGCCCTAGTATGTGTATGTATGAATGTAAGTTGTGGACTTTAGATTGTATGCACCTTGAGGGTTAGGGACTGATGTGAATGTACAATATAAATACTGTGTGTGTATGTGTATATGTGTGTGTGTGTGTGTATATGTGTATGTGTATATGTATATATATATAATTTGATCAACCATGCTTTTTTTTTATTCTTTGTGCCTTAAGAAAAGAAAAAAAAAAAAAAAAAAAAACAATTGTGAGAAAAAAACATTTTTGACTTTTTGCTGATAAACATGTCCATTAAAAAAAATATAAAAATATCAAATAACATCATAAATTTAGTAAAAAAATGTATTCTGCTATATGTCTTTGCTAAAAAGGACATCCCAATACATGTAAATTAATTGGTGTATGTGAAAGTTATAGCGTTTACAAATGGCGGCATATACACTGCGATTTTTTTTTTTTTTTTGAATTTTTATTAGTAATATCAGCGACTTGTATGTGGCAGGCATTCTGACACTGGGGGGAACTGACTTGGTAATAAAAAGCACTGACACTGTACTAATGGCACTGGGCATGAAGGGGTTAACATCTGGAGTGATCAAAGGGTTAACTGTGTGCTGTGTGCCGTTTATAACTGTGTGGCTGTGTTTTTGCTTCACTATAAGAACACTGCTTTGCGTGGCTATGCTGTGCACAACCATGCAAAGCAGTGTGCAGGAGCTGACGGGAGAGAACTGTTTTGTTTACAAACAGTTCTTCCCCTCCCGTCGGAGATGCTCGCAATCACTGGGCGCCGGCGAGTAATCAGCGTCCGGGACCTGGTGATTGAGATCCATGGCCGCGAACAGGTATATATATGTTGTTTTGTGCACTCCTACCACCCTGCAACAGTACTTCTGGTATAGGGTGGACAGGAAGTGGTTAAGGACTTATACAACTTGCTTTAGGGCCAGTTCATACCACTTGCAGTCAAGTGCGTTTTTTTTTTTTTTTCTGCATTAATAGTAGGATGCATGGTTTCCAATGGCATAGTTCACACCAATGCGGTCAGTCGCAGTGCGTTCCAGTTCCAGAAAAAAAAATTAGAGCAAGCTGCATTTTCTGCACTGAACTGTACTGTAACGCAGTAAAACGTATAAAGAACCACTCCAGAACGCACATGTCCTTATTAAAGTTGAAGAAAGAGAAAGGAAATAATGAACCGGCACGCATCAAAAACTCACCAGAACGCGTCAAAACCATGCATATAGAAACTCATCCGTACTGCATTTTTATGGCGTGAACAAGCCCATGAATTGGGTTTCTGTATTTACCTGGAGTTCAGCCTAAAAATATCAATCTTAAAGAGAGAGTGAACACTTTTCTGCTACTTTTACCTACAGGTAAACTTACAGTAAGGCTTACCTGTAGGTAAAATGAATATCTCCTAAACATGCACAGTTTAGGAGATATTTTAGTGAGCAGCAGCCGTTGATGTCAACAATCAACATTGACTATTTTCAATCATTATGCTGCTAGTATTAGTAAATAAATAAGAAAGTGTATTATATTTACTTTTAATCTTTTTTCACACTTCTTCAGTTACTTCCTGCATTCCATGCCTAGGCAAATGATGCCACACATCCCAGGAGTCTTTGGGAAAGGAGGAGGGATTTTCTCAGCAAAGCACATCCTCCTACCCGTATGCCTGAGCTAAGGGCAGATGGATTCCAGGAAGTAAATGCTACATGAATCATCTGCCCTTACTCAATATGGCCACAGTTGGAAATGCTAAGGGGTTGTTTTTCAAAGTGATTTCTCAGCAAGAAAAAAAAAAACATTGGAGACCTGGATAGATGGATGAGTTTGTTTTGAATATCAAAAATTAATTAAATAGCTGGTTTGTGGTGCCTACATGCAGTGTAGTTCCACTTTCAAGTATATTTGAACCCTTACCTTGCAAAATGACCTATTCTGTTTGAAATAGAAATGAAAGGCAAAACGTGTATACATTTTACAAACATTATAGATGCTTTTTTTTTCCTTTTAAAGAAGTGCATAAGGTGCTTAGATAGCTGGGACAGGAGAAGCAAGGGTACACAGATCCTCCAAGTGAATGGCTGTGCAGGAGGGGGGGCATGTCAGCAGACATCTTATTATTGGAGAAGAGCACTCTCCGCAAAGTTAGAAAACTGACCACACTGTGCTCTCATGGCTAGTGTGGTCAGTTTTTCATAGGAAAGCAGAGTGAGTGGCAGGAACACCAGGGATTCCACACAAAGAAAGCAATACAAAGAGAACAGGGAACGTTTTTCATACAAGTACATGGTACAGCAGGCATATATCAGGAATATGAAATGTTGGGGTTACATATTCTTTAATAAACACATTCATTTTACCACAGTGCAAGGAACATGTATTCATTTTCTGCCATGGGTATTAGAGAACACACTGTGGAAATTAGAAACTTTCCTCAAGTATCTCTTTTTCATATCTATCTGTACTGGGAGAAAAATAGAATTGTGATCTGTTTGGCTGCTTTATGATCTGTTTGAAGTTAACTTTGAAAACTTATAAGAAAACTTTGTTCTGAAAAGTTGCATATCACCTAAATTGTCTGGATTTATTACAATCGGTATTTACAATTCTGCTGTTTGGCACGGAGCAAAGTGCAGTTGGCTTAGGCTTGCTGGGGATGGAGCTAATAATAGAACATCAAGGTGTAAGATAAAGGTTACCAAGGTTTGCATTCTTCTTTTCATGTCCATGGGTCAATATGGTATGTGATTAACTATTGCATTAGTCACATTTTTGTGTTCCGCATTACAGTTACATAAAAAAAACTGTGTTTTCAAATGATTGGAAGCTGTAACTAGTCAAGAGTTCTGAAATGCCTGGCGAGTTTACTTTTCTAATCTTGGTTCTTGAGGAATTGTTTACTAAAACTGGAGAGTGCAAAATCTAATGCAGCTCTGCATAGAAAGCAATCAGCTTCCAGGTTTTATTGTCAAAGCTTAACCACCTCCCGTGTGGCCGTTGCATATAAACGGCCGGATGGTGGCAGTGCAGGGTTGGGTGGCCATTTATAAATGGCCTCCCCGCCCCCTGCTTGTGTGCGCTCCCTGGGAGTGCGCAGCACCGCGATCCGGTGCCCGCTGTGTCCTCTGGACACTGTGGAACACCGATCATCGGACGGGACCTCTGTGCAAGGTCCCGATCATGTGAGCACTGATTGGTCAATCAGTGATCACATGCAGAGTAGTAAGCAAGATGTCACTTCTGACATCATTGCTTACTACTTGTGAAATCTGTGAATGATCACATGGTACAAGGCTATTCACAGCAGCCTTGTACCATGTGACAAGCTGTAACCAATCACAGCTCACACAGTAGCTCTCAATGGCTGCAAGAATGGAGAAATGATTGCTTTTACAGCCTTTATGGCTGTAAAAGCAATCGGTGTAAAAAAAAAAAAAAAATCTTCATCACCCCCCACAAGTAGTACAGTGTCACCATGGTGACACTGTGCTGGTAGGGTGACAGTATGTAAAAAAAAAAAACAAATATTGATATAAAAAAAAAAAAAAAAAAAAAAATGTTTAAAAATGATCATTTTTGGTTATAAACTAATTTGGGTTCTTTTTTTTTTTTTTTTTTTTTTTTTTTTTTTTTTAATAAAAAGATAACGCAATACATTTTGGCCAAGATTTATGATGAAATATGATTTATTTGCAAAATTTTATAAGAAAAAAACACTTTTTTTCAAAGTTTTTGGACTTTTTCATTTACATAGCAAAAAAAAAAATAAAAATCCTAGTGCTGAGTAACTACTACCAAAATAAAGCTTTATCTGTCTCAAAAAAATGCTAAAAAATTCATATGGGTACAGTGTTACATGACCGGGCAATTGTCATTCAAAGTGTGATAGCACTGAAAGCTGAAAATTGGCCTGAACAGGAAGGGGGTGAAAGTGTCCAGACATGAAGTAGTTAAAGCAGACCTTCAGTTTAATTTTATATTTTCCCATGCAGTGGGTTAATTGCTAGTTTTGTCAAGGAGCTCAGGGAAAAGCTATACTTACCCCATCCT